CTGCCCTCTCATCATAGCACTTGTAGAAGGCCAGCAGGAATCGATTTGAAAGGGAAATTGGCCTTTGAGTAAAGACTTCCCATTGCTGTTATTTCTAATCCAGGTTCCCTAACCTGTGGCACCAGCCTGAATAAAACCAACGTATTTTAAAGTAAAGCCTCTCAGCTGGTAGCACTTCTTTCCTTCCAAGTACCTCAGCTCTGAACACGGGATGCCTTTGATATATAGCTTTCATTTGGTCCCTACCATCAAACATCAGTGCCCCAGTTAGGTCCCCTGCTAACCTGAAGTGTGCACGAATCCTCTGAAGACATGGTAGGTGGGAGAAGTGAGCCCCGAACATGGCAGGAATGAGTCAATTGGAGTGCTGGGTTTCACAGCCTGAAAATCCCCCCAGGTTCTTTCCAGATTGTGTCAGGTCTGTTACTATTTGGTCATTTGCATATCTGTGGGTATTAATGACAACAAATGTTGGGTTGAATTTAGCCACTTTCAACCCAGCAGTCGAGTGGTCAAGATGTTAGTGGCACCTCAATGTTTTTCTAGTCTCTGTTTCATGAAGGAAAATGATATTGCTGAAATGGCACATTGGTTGGGAGCGCAGGATAAAACCCAGCTCTTAATTTCAATGTTAGGGCTATTGCAATAGTAGCTCATATCACTTTACTGAGATGGACCTCCACGGTCCTCTCCTTGCGGCTGGAGAACAGAGGTAGCTGGGTGCGGTGCACAGAGCACTGGGCCTGGAATCAGGAAGAACTGGGATCAAATCCAGCTTTGGACACTTGATAGCTGGTGACTTTGGTGCAAGTCATGATCTCAGTTTCTTCCACTGTAATGCGGGCATAATTAAAGCACCCACTTTCTACAGCTGCTACAAGAATCCAATGATACATATTTGTAAAAGTGCTAGATACATAGTAGATGTCAGTGAAATGCTTATTCCCTCACCTTCAATGTCCATTCCATAAAGGACAAATCCCCTTCATTTTCACCTTTCTTCTCATGCTCTTTCCATCTTCTGAGAACAGGGACTGTCTTTTAACCTTCCTTTGTATCCCCAGTGCTTAGTATGGTAATTGTCCCATAGGCACTTAATATTTATTAAGTCACTGGGTCCTTCCATTCTGCCTATAAATATGCCCAGGTCTCCCTCATCCATTGCCTCAAAAGGCTATTGTCTTATATAGCTCTCCTATTTTTCTTGGTGAAACTCCCAGGAAAAAACCCCCGAAAACTGTCTACATTTGTTACTTCCACTTCCTAATATATTTTTTAAAATTACTGCAGATCTTTAATATCAAAGATATTGGGAACAGCTCCTGGTGGGGAACCTCTACCAATGAGAGAGACATTTTCTTATCTAGGGTCACAAAGCCAAGACATGTCAGAGATTAGAATTGAACCCAAGTGTTTCTGATTGATCTTGACTCTCTATCCACTATTCCACACTTCCTCTCCTCTTACTTCCTGACACTTGTTTTAATATTTCTTCTGTTTGGCCCTTTCTGATTTACAGGGAGTCCAATTCTTTGATAAGGTTTACCTATTTTTAAAATATTTTTTAAAAAATGTAATATTTATATAATTTTCTGGAATATGGTTTACTGATTCTAAATATATTATTCTATTCTAACCTATTGGATCTCTTTGCTATTCTGTCCTTTCTAGGTGTCATTTCATTGAACATTTCGTATGTTCTTGCTTTCCTTTCTCCACGGATTTTTGTAATCCCCGCTCAGTCAGTCTGATTCTATTCCCTCTAGAATCAAATACACACTGCTGTTTTCCATGAAAAGCCCTTCATAACCTGGCCTCTTTCTGCCTTTTTACTCCCCTTAAATGATCGCCATAGTCCAGCCAAACTGGCTTTTCCTCTGTTTAGGACACTCTGTGCCTCTGCCCTGGCTGTTCCCCTTGGCTGGAATGTAGCCTGCCTCTTCATGACCGTGTCTTAGAATCTCTAATTTCTTTCTAAGCTCAGTTCATGTGTCACCCTTCTAAGTGAAGCCTTTCCCCCTAAGATCACATATGTAATCTTCCCATCTTTTTGCTGTAAACTCTAGGTAGCTGGTGGCTCAGTGGATGGAGTGCTGGGGCTGGAGTCAGGAAGACCTCACTCACTTAGCTATGTGAACCCAGCGGGTGAGTCACTTCACCTCTCATGTTTCCTCATCTGTGAAACGGGGCATTTTTCCTCCTACGTTACAGGATTGTTATGAGGATGAAGTGAGAATATTTGTAAGTGCTTAACAGTGCCTGGCACATAGTAGGAGCTTAATAAATGCTTACCCACCTCCCTCCCTACTTGGCCCATAGTAGGCACTTGATAAATGCTTGCTGATTGGGAGAAGGAAGGGGTATGCATTTCAGATAGAAAGGTTTGGGCAAAAGCAAGATAGGAATATCACAGGGCTTTGGGAAGATAAAGATACTAGAAGGTCTCTGGAGAATGCATAAGGTCAAGGCCAGCTCTCAGAGGAGCTCTAATGTTGGGCTGAGAAGTAGGCCAACTTTACTCTACAGGCAACAAGATGCAGGGAAGTGATTTGTGCAAAACAGTATTTTTATAAATATCAGTATTTCTTTAGCACCCAGGATTGGAGATACTGATACAATTTTAGGACTATAAACATTCCCGAGACATTAAGCACTCCCACGAAACAGAAGGAAGTATGATCACTGCTTTGTGGAGAAGGTCGGAAGTAATTAGGGAAAACTTGGCTTAGTGGGTGTTAAGTGTCCCCGACTGGATCCCACAGTCTGAGAAGTTGTCTTTCATTCTCGAAGAGGACCATGACATCAGGATGGCAAGGCTATGACATGCAAGTGAAGTGGATTTAAGTGAGGGAGGGCTGTGCAAAGTCACCAGCCTCACTCTCTCCTCCAGAACCATTTGGGTCCAGTGGCCAGATACACAACAGGATGACCGGAGGTGGAAGAAGCGTCGTAAGTGAAGATTCTATCCTCCTGAGAAATGTAACAAGATCAAAATACCATGTAATTCCTTTCAGAAAAAAAAAAAGAAAAAAAAACGGGCACCAGCCCAAGATGAACACACATGTACTTAAAAATAAGGCTCTCAGGGTGGTCAAATTTCTTGCCAAGTTAGTGTGGTCAGAAGCCAGTTTTCAGCTGCTCCCACTGAGGGCTCTAAAAACACTGAATGACCATTTAATGGAAGGAGGCCAGCTCCTTTAGACGTACATTAAGGACAGAAGGGGAAGGACAGAATGATTATTTTCCCTCAGGTTTACTTTCCAAAAACATTCTGTTGAGTCACTCTCCATGAAAGGAAAGCTTTTTATTTTTTTTTTTAAAATTTTTATTTTTTTATTTATAACATGTGTTTTTAAAACTTTGGGTTACAAATTTTCTCCCTTCCTCCCTCATCGAAAAGGCAAGCATCTCGATACAGGTTATAGATATGTAGTCATGCAAACACTTCCATAGTAGGCCTGTTGTGAAAAACTAAGTATATTTCCCTTCATCCTATCCTACCCCCCATTTATTCTATTCTCTCTTTTGACCCTGTCCCTCCTCAGAAATGTTTGCTTTTGATTATCTCCTCCCTCAATCTGCCCTCCCCTCTATCAACCCCCTGCTCTCGTCCCCTTCCCCACTTATTTTCCTGTAGAGTAAGACAGATTTCCATACCCCATTGTGTATGTTATTCCCTTCTTAAGCCAGATCCTATGAGAATAAGATTCACTCATTCCCTCTCACCCTCCCCCATTTCCCCTCCACTGTAAAAGCCTTTTCTTGTCTGTTTCACGTGAGGTATTTTACCTCATTCTACTTCTCCCTTTCTCCTTCTCCCAGTATAATCTTCTCCCACCCCTTAATTTTATTTTCCAGATAGCGCCCCTTCATCTTCAACTCACCCTGTGTCCTCTATCTATCTATACAAACATGTAATTTTTTCCCTCCCACTACCCTAATACTGACAAAGGACTCATGAGTTACAAATATCATCTTTCCCTGAAGGAAATGTAAAAAGTTCAACCTTAGTCTCTTATGATTTCTCTTTCCTGTTTACCTCTTCCATGTTTCACTTGAGTCTTGTATTTGAAGGTCAAATATTTTATTCAACTCTGGTCTTTTCCACAGGAATGCTTTAAAGTCCTCTATTTCATTGAATGACCATTTTTTCCCCTGAAGGATTATACTCAGTTTTGCTGGGTGGGTGATTCTAGGTTGTAGTCCTATCTCCTTTGCCCTCTGGAATATCATACTCCATGCCCTCTGAACCCTTAATGTAGAAGCTGCCAATTCTTGTGTTACCCTGATTGTGTTTCCACAACACTTGAATTGTTTCCTTCTGGCTGCTTGCAATATCTTCTCCTTGACCTGGGAATTCTGGAATTCGGCTGCAACATTCCTAGAGTTTTCGAAAGGAAAGCTTTTTAGTGACTCTGAGTAACCATTCAGCAGCTTGAAGGAAGCAGAAGAGCAGAGAATTAAGGTTATGCTTTGCTTCTTGAGTTCAGGGTCCTGAGGGACGCAGGATCAATGTTGGGTTCCAGGGAAGAAATCAGAACCCTGAAATCAAAGACAACCCAAGTCTTGTTTCCCCTTGGTTAAGGGCCAATCGGTTGGGGACACACAGCATCCCCATAAGGAATACTGTGCACACACTAGGCAGCAATAGCTGCAAAGGAACAACGTGAAAGCAGGGCAGGGAAGCTACTAAATATCGTGCCATTATTCAGCCACAGCCCAAGACCCTTCTTTACTTTCCCCTACCTCCAAAAGCATCCTAGCAGCAACATTACTTTCCTTTCTGGTGGTTAGCTCCCAGAGAACCAGTATCTTTGCAAAGGACAATTTGCACAAAAAAGATGAATGCGCAAGTTTGGTTTCAACTCTGGCCCAGATTATCATCATATATTCATTAGTTTTTTGGGGTGAGCTAAATATAGTGTTAGTTATAGGCTACTGTGGCTGATACCATTTCCCAACCCTGCTTCCCCTTAAAAGAACAGCCTTGGAGACGGTGATCCAATCTACAATAACTTTATTGTAACAGAGAAACCAGGCTGCATAAAGGCCTACATGATTACAATGGAGGGTGATCTTTTCAAGGTTTATGTTTGAACTCGGCTAGCAACACAGAGAAGCTTACAACCACAGCTCAAAATACTCATCTCCCAGGACCGACTGCCCCATACATACTTGTCATCAACAGGTTATTTACTGCACAACCACATTGATGAGGTCTGGTGGGGAGGTGGCAGAAAAGGGGACGATTAAAAACTTTACAATGATGCCAATATTAAAGTGCAGTCATTTTATCGAATTCTCCTCCTCCATCTTTTGCTGAGAGAGGGGAGGAGAGAACATGCTCACTTCTTAAATTACATTTTACTTAATTCTCCAAGTATATGGATCCTGATAGGAAGGGTCTGAAGGTTAATTCAAGCAGAGGGAGGGAGAGAAACCAGGGCAGATTTGGATCTTTGGGTCAAAGGGAAAGGACAGCAATAAAAATGGGAGGAGGGGAGAGTTAAAAAAAGTCTTAGATGTCCAATGGGTGAGAGCCACCTCCCTTTCCTGCTATTTCTGAAAGCCAAGATGCTGTGCAACAGCAGCATCTACGATTTCCAAAAACCAACTGCCACGCGAGGTGCCTCTATCAGCCATGGGAGGCCCATCAGAGGTGGAAGTCAGAACTGGGCAAGCCTTCTTTGGAAGCTTTTAGCACCACAGAGATTTTGGTTACGCGGGTTAAGTGATATTTATTACCTACATTAAAGCTCTTGAACAACATTGTAACGCCGGAGATCTAAGACTGGGGGAAGGGGAGAGGGCAAGGAATTCTGGTTTCTGGGTGGGATTTTTGGTAGAGTTACTGTAAACATAAAATGTTTTGGAAAAGTTGTGGAGGATGGGTTGGGGAGTTTGGGTTAGACCCACGAAGCTCCAAACACTAGTTTCGGATGCCTTTAGCCTACTCACAGGTCTTGTTCTGAGATACTTTCAATGGCTGAGCATTAAGCACTGTGGTTGAAAGAAATTCTCACACCACTCCTATCTTCGCCAGCTCAATCATCTCTCTGAATCTCAAACAGCAGAGTCTGAAGGTGGGAAGGTCGTCTCTGCTCCATCTCGCCAGGGAGAGTTATTTGGTTACTTGGTGAATGGCATGGGCAAGGTATCCTACGTTGCCTGATGTGACCCCTGCTACAGAAATTCGGCCATCTTTTGTCATATAGATGGAGAATTCCTTGATCAGCCGTTCCACCTGCAAAAAGAGAAGAAACTGGGCATTTCTTACTGCTTTGGGAAGACTTACCTCCTAATCAACTAAAATTCAAAGTACATTTCTATCTATCATACATGCTCTCTCTGCAATTTCTATCATACTATGCTGCTTTAAAATGGCAAAGAAGGAAGACCACATATAATGACCATGGAGGTAAAAAGGTTTTAGACTTACACAAATCACACAGGTAGCATTTAATAGAAAAATCAGAAAGAACTGTGTTTTCCTTTCAAACAATCACAGCTTGTTTAACATTGTTATTCTAAGGAAAAAGACTCAGTCTTTCTGTTTCTCATAAGCCCTTTCCCCCTTTAATTGAAGAATATCTAAACAACCCTCATGAAAATTCCACCTGTGATTCTGGAAGGAGTCTTTTGACAGCGCACCCACCTGCTCAGGTTTCAGGCCTGTGAAACAAAACATGCCAATCTGGTCAGTGATGTGCTGCCAGTTGTGGGAGGAGCCTTCTTTCTTGAGGTTGGAAACCAGCTGGGTTCGCATGCCAATGATACGATCTGCCATGCCTTTGACCTCCTGCAACCTAGAAGAAAAAGAGAATCACTCCAGTCAACTCCAGGGCCCCTTCCCTCCAGCCTCCTTCTGACAGGAGCCAAGATTAATTCTAATTCCCATGTGAGGAGATGGTTTCACAGCTTTCTGCTCTGCGTGGGAAGAACGCTATTTTGACCAAGGCAGCTGCAGTCACCGATGCAGCTAGTTTAAGGGTGCAGCCAAGTTGGTCAATGAATCTGGTGAACCATTAACTTCCTCCTCCGCTGATTCTGTAAAGCTCCAGATACTAGGTAGTTACGGAGAGAGGGTCCTCTTCATTTTATTATTTTTTTCTCCCCTAAGAAGAGACAGTAGATAACATCTTGCATTTACTCCTTACATTCTAGGCTACTTGAGGTCTAGACCCTTTGAGAATCTTACATGTTGTACTTAATATATTTCCAGAGAATATCATTTAAAACCAATCCCAGATGTTACCAAAGGGAAAAGTAAAGGTGCCTTGTTACATTCACTGTGTCAATTTGAACTCTTCCCTAGGGGCCTTTGGGTTTTAATGTTCAAAGTACATAGAAATGTTGGCATGAGAAATGTTATGATTGCCTCACAGATTTTTGTCTGTTCTAAAAAGTCCTGGTATGGGAAAAGGTGTCACATGACCATAGGGACAAAGTGAGGCAGCGTGCTATCTAGGAAAGGGATTTGTAATCAGAGGTCCTGGATTCAAATCACTTTGCTTCTCTGAGCCTCAGTTTCCTGTCTCTAAAACGAAGGGGTTAGATTAGATGGCCTTCTACTCTCAAACTATGGTCTTAGATGACTGTGGCTCCCATAAGGTAACTGGCCATTTCTACACCGCACTGGAAGCCGATACCATGAAATAGCTCTTAAGGGCAGCTGAAGGGACAGGTCAGAGGACAGGAAGTAGCACTGGACATTTACCATTGGCTCCTCAGATCAGGAGTATTCAGGATCGTGGCGGCAATTCGGGCCCCATTGAGAGGGGGGTTGGAATACAGGGGACGAATCAGAATTTTCAACTGGGATTCTACCCTTTTGGCTTCATCAGCATCTTTACAAACCATGGTAAAGGCTCCCACACGTTCACCTGGAAGATAAGGCAGGTTACACATCACCGAGACCTTTCAACATTTACTTCGCCAGAGTAGACACTGAATTTACCCTACAGTTTTCTGTAAGCAGAGGCACTTGTCCTTGATGGGAAAAAGTCATTCTGACCAACATGGGATAACTGACTCGGGCACAAAAGAAGCCTGGATGATGCTCCCCCCACCCCCCCAAAAAAGAGATTGGTCAATTTCTATAGGACACAAAGATGAAGATTACTAGGTCACTTCCAATTATTCCATGCAGGCCAGTTTATTGAACAAGAGAGGTAGCTGGTTATCTTTACTGGATTAGATACCTGGAAAGAAATTAACATGGGAACAATGACTCGTCTGACAAAACTGTCACTTAATTCCTCTAGATCCCAAGTTTTTTCTAATAGGTAAAATGTAATATGAAAAATAGGGCTAAATAAAATGAATCCAAGTTTCCCTTTGCAGAATATCTGCCACCCCCAATCCTTCTCGGAAATCAATGGGAAAACCAATCAATCAAGTATCCCTGCTTACCATATAGGCCCATGTTCTTGGCGTATGACTGACAGAGAGCGACATTAATGCCCTGATCAATGAAATGGCGAACAGCCCAGGCATCCTTGTTGCCATCTCCACTGGCAAAGCCCTGGTATGCCATGTCAAAAAAGGCAAAGAGTTTCCTTTGCTATGAATGAATCAGAACAAAGTTTTAATTAGTCACTTTGAAGATTCCACAGAGAAATCTTACCTGACTGCATTTCACTGACTGGCATCACTACGTACTCCAAATGGGTACATTTTAAATATTGTTATGTTAGAAAATGAAGGTAAACTGAGAGACAACGCTTTATTAGTTAGGTTAGCAGTAACCAATAAAGTGAGTCAATGGACTCTCTTAATGACCAAAAGATGGCGAGGTAGGGCTCCTCAGCCTTAATATAAATTCTAGAGAGTTGGGTGGGTGGGGAAGACAATTTGATGGTTACAGGGTGGGGACGTGACTAATTATTTTAAAGAAATCAGGCTAGCACCCACATGGGGCTAGTAACCACCCCTCTCTGACAATTAAGGAATGGTAATTGTTTTATGGGACCCACTCCATCTCTCAGATTTTGTTATGGAGATAAGACCTTTCTTAATTGTAGAAGGACAGGAAAGGATGGACAATATATCTTGCGGAAATTTACCAGATCAGCTTGTAGGCCTTTAAAGATAAGGTATGGTAGATAACAGTTCGTTTTGTTTTTTTTTAAAATCACACCTTTAAACGAACTCGGAGAAAAAGTGGGGCAGTAATACAAGACAGGATCAATTACAGAACAGACTCAATTATAAAATGATGCAGAATCAATTTAATTTCTTCAACATCCTAGTTAGCCAGAGCCAATGCCATGCTCTTTAATAATTATGAGCTATAGAAACGTGAGCTATTAAGATTTACAAAGAACTTTATAGATGTGATAACATTTGATCCTCCCAACAACTGTGTCAATAGGCACCATTATCCTTGCTATACAGATTCGGGAACGTGCCCAGGGTCACACAGCCAAAAGGCGTATGAGGCGGGACTTGAATTCAGGTTTCCCTGACTCCAATTCCAGGGCTCTTTACACTATACCAAGCCGCCTCCCATAAAGTACGTGGCCGCTAGATAGATCTTATTGACCTGCTTCACTAACCACCTGTCGGGTAACCTGCTGAGATGTTCGCAGGTTTTGGCTACTAGAGTTCTCATGAAAGAGAAGCAGAGACGAAGGGACCGCAATCCGCGTCCCTTCCACAATCATTCTAATTAACGCTACATTTCTATCACCTCCACATCCCACCCAGTTTACCTGGGCATATAAACCCAGTGCAAGTTCAATCTTAGCCAATTTCTGCTGTGACTTCCTTGCCACGTGTGGCTGGTCCACCCTAGACAACGCACCTTTACCAAGGACGCTACTTCTTTCCACTGCTCAGGACGAGGATCAACTCCAGTGGGGTTGTGAGCACAGGCGTGCAGAAGGATGACACTCTGCTCTGGGATTTTCTACACAGAGGATTAAAAACAAACACACCATTAACTCTTGAAGTTGCTTTCCAGTGAATGGGCCATACTGCCTCGGCTACAGAAGCCACCTAAAATGTGTACAACATCAGATCCTTGAAGGCAGGCGCTACACCAATCTGCACCCTTGTCTTCTTAGGGCCTTGCACCCGAGCAGGCATTTAATACATAAAAACTGGTTGAATGGAGTGTGACGGGTTAGTGTGTTTCATGAAACCTACACCCACTGTCTATCACTTTTCATGTGCTTCTCCCTCTTCCCTGAAAGCCATACTTACTGAAATGTCTTCCAAGGCCCCGGTGAAGTCAAAGCCACAAGTCTTGGGGTCGTAGTAGCGATAGCCATTCAGCTGCATGCCAGCGTCCCTGAAGATGGGGGTGTGATTTCCCCAGGATGGTTTTGGAAGATAGACATCCCGGCTAAATTTGAAGAACCGTTGCTAAAAGATGTGGTGAGGAACGAGCAAAATGGAAAAAATAAAGAAAAGAAGTATTTATATATCACAGTTGTCACTGTTTATTTGCCTTCCCTGGAAAGATTCCCTTCTACTAAGAAATACTTTGTAAAAACTCTAATCCAAGAAGAAAAGCAGTGCTTTTCATTTGAAAAGCATTATCAAACCCAAGAGTTCTACACTCACCAGAAAATTGGCTCCCACTCTCAATGCTCCAGTTCCAGAAATGGTCTGTACGGTGACATACTAAGAAAAGAGACAAAAAAGTCAGTCAAAGAGCCTCTACATACAGTACTAATTAACATGATTGAAATAGAGCAGAATAGTTAGCCACCATTACCCCTAATACCACACCTCCTTTTAGAAGCTGAAATCACTTTCCAAAGTGAGACCTTAAACAGGTTGTCACTGGACTAAGCCCCACTACCCGCTCACTGGTAATGAGATGGGTTGATCAACCAGTCTCTCCTGAGCACAAAAGCTGAATTAATTTAAGAAGGCTCTTAAGTTCATAAAACTTTTATAATATATAAGATTTAAGAAGGTATCTAGGAGTCCAAAATTTCTCCTTGGCCTTACATATAGATGGAAATAAGGTGCTAAAGAGGAGGTCAACTAGGCCTCTTATTTCAGAGCATTCCAAGAGTGACCGGCCTGCCTCCCACCACCAGGGCCCTGAATCTAGGTGTAGCTCTCTGCTACTTCTGTGGCCCTGGCCCCATCTTTGAATGAAGATGACACGACTTTTAAAGCTCCTTCAAGCCCCAAGTCTTGGCTGTTACAGGCTGGGAAACTGAAGCTCAGAGTTTCAATGGCTTTTCCATCGGTCACTTGTTTGTCATGGATCTGTGATGTCATTTGAGTGCACGCCTCCCAATGACACAGACCCTCGTTTTTCTACAGCTAACTAATGTCGTTTTTTTTTTTTTTAAAAGAGTTGACTCTTTCACCATGCAGCCAGTAGGGTCCTTAGCTGAGAGAAAGAGCCTGTTCATGGACCCACAACCAAAGACTTTCCAGCTTGGCTGGACCTTTCAGAGCCTGTGTTCTGCTGCCCCTGGCTTTCAGAATGGGGTCATTTCTGTGCCATACTGGAACAGGAGAGGGGGCAGAGCTCAAAGACACAAAGCCAGCAATCTAGCAAAAAGTCTATTTGCTCAGTAGATACAGTGTGGTGCCTGCAGTCAGGAAGACTTGAGTTCAAAGCCAGCCCCAGACACTTCCTAAGCTGTGTGACCCATGGTGAGTTAACTTAACCATTGTCTGCCTGAGTTTCCTCAACTGTAGAATGGGGACAATAGCAGCATCTCCCTCCCAGCGTTGTTGCAAGGATCACACAAGACAATATTTGCAAAATGCTTTGCAAGTGCTTCAAGTGCTACATAAATGCTAGCTATTGTTGGAAGAAAATTTCCACCCAATTTTAATAGGCTTAATTAGAGTTCCTTGGATTAAAACAAAACAAAACAAAACAAAACAAAAAAACAACAGAAACCCCAAACCAGTATTTGCCTCTGCAATCTTTGGCATATGGGATATTACAAAATCATTCTTCAGATTACAAGTTAACTCTCGATGCAAAGACATAGAAATTTCCAAATACTGGTGAAGTCCTAATGACTATGCCTTGAAGATATAACCATTTTGCCTCCAACATGAAGATGGAAAAACTGGCACAGACCCCCGAATCAGTGGTAATATGTAAACTGGGACCCAAAGTGCCTAAATCCAATACCAACAGTTCCAAGGTCCATTGATTCAACCACCCATCCCCCACAAATCAGTGTTTTTAGTGTTATGACTCTGGGGTCACGGAAGACATTGTTTGCTTTTTCCTGGGCTCATGAACTCTAACACACATGACGTTAGGTCAGTTGGCCTTGCAAACAGGACTTGTTTACTGCCAGCAATGATTCACTCTGGCCCTGTGTTTACTTTGCTTAGCTTAAACTGCTGCCAAGCCAATCATCCTTACCTGGTTGGCCCCTCTTTTATTACGGGGCTGTATACCATCTGCCCACATGTGCCAGGCTTCTGTCAAAGTAGTGGTTCTCAGTCTGACTAATGTAATTATGCCTAGTAGGCAGGACTAGTTAACTTAAAAAATAAAAAAGGCAAGCAAGTGCCTAGTAGAACTTTAAGAAATCTCATCTCTTCCTTCATTTCCCCCTTTGGGGAAATGACAGTGAAGGAGAGAGGCAGGCTGATGCCTCCCATGAGTGACAGTTTAAGCAGCCCCCAAATTCTCTGGAGAAAAAGGGCAGATGCAAGAGGAGAGGGTCAGTCCCAAGGAAGGGTAGGCCCATGTTCCTCAATGTGTGACACGTCCCTTTCTAATCCTCTATTTAGGTTTTGGGGGCTTACAATATCAGGGGTGCACATGACTGGATCCTCAGGTCTATACTGAGATTTCACAAGTACATTCTATGTAAAAGCAACAGAAATGTAGGCTGAAAGTAGAGATGGGACAAAACTTACTGATTAGCAAATCCGTAACTGGCACTACCCTGAAGCTGTGATTGTGGCCACCTCTGAAGAATCACTACAGACGCTCGTTCGCAAAGTTAATGGGAGAAACAAAAATGGAGCCCTGGCATTTACAGAAGTGGAAATCTCCTTGACTTACTCGACTGCTTTTCACAACCTCATTATTTTCACCCAGGGCCAACTCTGCTGAGGCCTTGCAAAATTCAGCCAGTCCTGCGATGGGCAGGTACTCTTTGTCCATGTTCTTCCCTGCAATTTGAGCCTCTGCCTGTAATGGAGGAACAGGAAGATGTCAGAGATTCTCCTTAAACCCTGGCTCCCACCCTTGTTCCCCACCCCCAGCACATGTCATGCAAAAAGCCGGTTCTGAGCAGGGTAATGTCTTCATGAAGCCAGAGAATGTACTGCATCTTTCAAACAACAACCAATAAGTCTGGACTTGTGATTTCATCAGTATGAGGAGAGCTCCCTGGTGAAGAGATTGCCCTTCCCAAATGCAGAGGGCAACTCTTTGTCTTAAGAGTGGTCTGGAGCCCTGAAAGGTCACCCTGGCCCCAAAGCGGCCCCCTTTTGTTCACTGTCACGTTGCCTTTCATTATGCATTCTGAGTGCATACATGTTAATTCCAAAAATTCTACTCCATGTGGCACAGAATAATTTACTTTGTGGTTAGGTTTACTTTGGAAATTTGAAATGGAGAATAACACATCAGAGGCACAATTTTCCAATGAGCCCATGGCACACAAATGCTTTCATTGTAACTCCGTTTAGAGACCATTTAGTTCAGTATCTTCATTTAAAAAATGGGAAACTACATGGCCCATGGAGACTAAAGTTAGAACTAGAACCCACGTCTTCTGATTCCCTTCAATGCTCTATACCAAAGCGACCCGGCGGCCCACGCCAAACTCACCTTACGGACACTTGCAAGAACATAAGGCTTTCCATTGTCATCTCGGTAGGCCCCAACTCCCAGATTCATCTTCTTGCTGTTAGTGTCCCTCTTAAATGCTTCTGTAACCCCCAAGATAGGGTCGGGAGGGCCCATCTCTACATGGGTCCACCAAGAGCTAAAATGAGAATTACAGGACATCAGTAAGTTATCCACCCTTCCCCACCTGAAGCTGCAGACAGAAGTTCCAAAAAAATGGAACAAAAAGAGCCCTAATTTAGTAGTTCAATCTCCAAGTGAGAAGGCAGGCAGGGGATTTCTCTTACAGAAAGGGCAAGCATGTGCCTCTCGGTCTCATGATCAGCCTTCTGGCAAAATGAGCTTTATAGAGTTCTATGTATTTAGCAAGATATAAAAATGCTTCAAGGCATAATCCACTAACCTAAAAAAGGATATATTACTTCTTTATGAGAAAGCATTTCATACCATTGCATATTCAAGACTTCAGTCTTTAATATCCAGTTCTCTCGTGTTTCCAGGTGACTCTAGATCAGGGGTGGGGAACCTTTGGCCTCGAGGTCAGGGGTCAGAAGTTCCTCACCCCTGCTCTAGATAAAAGAGTCTAGTCTAGGTTTGCTGGGCAATTAGCTACCAAATGAAATCAAATATTTATTAAATGCCTATTAGAGAAGCATGGTTCCATGTATGCTATCTTCAGCTCACCACACTGACCAACCTACTTAATTGTTCTACAAAAGAAACTTGCTCTTATGTGTTCCTCAATGGCTCACTCTTCCAATTGTTCTACGTGAGAAGGGTCAACAGAATTGGTTACAGGGATAAATGAGACTATTCAATGCCAAGTTTGTGCTCCCACAATTGGGCAAAAATTCTTGACGTGGCAGAAACAGCACTGGATTTAAAAACCCAGCTCTGTTACTTATCTGCCCAAGGCTACCCAGGAGGGCAGTTCCCTTCTCTGGGTTCCATCTTCTCATCTGGGAAATGAGGTCATTGGCTTAGAGCAGAGGACTGCCCCAAACAGATTAAAATGTAATTGGGAAATTTTTAACAAAACAAATAGAAATACAACACAGATGATGTTAATTTATAGTTTTCTATGTCAATGTACCTTGGAAGGGATCCCTTTCTATGTGGCCCACATTATCTCTAAAATCCTTCTGAGCTCTAAATCCTTATTACCAATATGAAGATAAGTCTGTTATTCTGGGGGCAGATTTATTTAATTTCTGGATTTTCCAGGCTTTTTACTTCTTGCTCTTATCACTTCTACTACTTGGCTGTGGGCAGTTTTACTACTCATACCTCCACCAGAAAGCAGTTCAAGAAAATGTACCAAATGATGGAAATAGCTGAACAAACTATGTTACGCAAAGAAATACAGGATGGCTTGTATGTAACGAAGACTTAAGGAACTATAGTTAAGAGAACAAGATACATTCCATATACCATATAAAGTTAACGAGGGAACAAAATTCAGGCAAAAAACTAGTCCACAACAGTACCATACCATTGAAGTTTAAGGAAATATGCTTTTTGTCTATTCATTGGTAAACTACAAAAGTAGAAAGTAATACTGTACTATCAGTCACAGTCATTTGATGGTTTTAGCAAAAGGCACCTTTTGTGTGCAGGGGTCTGAAAAGTACCTTTTCATTTCAACACATCAGATAGCATTCAATTTAAAAAGAACATGGAGGAAACATACAAATTACAGGTTAGTTTTATTAGGAATGCTAGTAAATTTTGGAAGAAAAATGAGGAAGAAACTCAAGTTTCCCAGGACAAGGGGCTATATCTCATGCTTCTTCTCTAGCACACAGCAGGCACTTAATATCTGTTGAAGCCAGTTCCCCCAACTACAACCAAAAGCTGTTTATATTGAATAGCCATAATATACTTAAAAATCTACTAGATGCTAGTAGTCTCTAGTATTTGAGGACGTAAGCTATACTCCATGCCTAATTTTGTAAATTTTCAATGAGGTATCTTATCATCAGAACCAATTCTTTTGAAATTTCATGGTTTCCCTGGCTTCCTTCCTACCCCAGGTAAAAGCTCACCTTTTACAAGAAACGTTTTCCACCAATACCCCTCAATGCCTGTATCTTCCTTTTCTTATCTGTCTATATCTTGTTTACACATCATTTTTCTGCACATTGTCTCACCCATTAAGACTGTGAGCTCCTAGAGATCAGGGATTGTTTTTTGGCTTTTCTTCTTATCCCTTGCACTTAAAATGTGTGCCACACAGTAACTGGTGTTTAATGTTTGTTGACTTGATGATCCCTGAAAGTTGTTTTCCATCTGCTAATTATTACTACTAAGTTGCTAATCCAGATCCTTTCCTACATGTTACTTTTAAAACTGCCTTGCTTCTCTTTGTTTCTTTCTGTTCTGTGCATTTAAAAAAGCACAATGGTCTTTTTTTTTTGCATCCCTATTGTTAATTTACCCTCCCCATGTTGCCCTTCTTCGCCATTAACTCAGAGTAAGAAAGAGACAGTCCTCTTCCCTCCCTTTTGTGACAAATGAGCCAAGAAAAGGCATCCAGTGGCCATGTCCAAAGATACATGCCTCTACATCTTGTTCATCAGGTCTGTGAAATGGGTGCTCAGGAGACACAACTGGTCAATGCTCTAAGAGTCCTTCAGTCTCCCGAACCTTTATGATACTTGCATCATAAAGGTTCTGCTCCCTTCATTCAGCATCAGTTCTGACTATCCAGGATTCTCTGAAATTATCTATTTCACCATTTCTTGTTTGTGGCCATTCCCTCCCTCTTAACTACCCCTCGCCACCCCCAGTTTCCCAGCTGAATTGGATGTGTTTCTACACCAAACTTCATGTCTGTGCGCTTACAGGTGCACACTCTCAACTTTCCACCGTCCATTTCACTCAAGAGTGAGGTTCATACAATCCCTACTCCTCCCAGCCCTTCCCTCATGTTTGTACAGTTTTCTTCTCATGAATCCCAATGGTGTGGTTCTTCCTCTGTGTATGAATACTCCTGTATTCTTTGAACTCTTCCTTTCCCCCCTATTCAAACCCTGAGAACAAAACTAATCCATCCCTCCACCTCAATCCCAGTCCTCTGTTTTTCTTCATTTAATTCCCTCAATACACTGGGGAGGTTAAGAGACATTTATTTCTTCTCCCTTTACTTTATCATAAAGATTCTTTTAATTTTTTTTGTTTTGTTTTTGTTTTTCGTTTTTTTTTTTGGCGAGGCATTTGGGGTTAAGTGACTTGGGTCACACAGCTAGTAAGCATCAAGGGTCTAAGGCCAGATTTGAACTTTTAATTGTTAAAAAAACAATTTACCTATGTTTCTCTGGACTTCTGTGTTTTCGAAATTTTCAAAAATAATCTGCCTTGTCTCCTGTCCAACACCACCCTCTCCACTAAGAAAAACAAAACCCTTATTACAAACATGTAGAGTCATACAAAACAAATTCCAACATTAGACATGTCCAAAAAATGTCTCAATCTGCACTCTGAGTACACTGCCTTTCTGTCACAAGGTAGGCAGCATGTTTCACCATGATGAACTCGTAACAAGTTAAATTTCAAAATTCATACTTAGCTCTGGTCTTGCCACCAGAATTTCTTAAAGCTTTTCTGTTCGTTATAGGCCCCTTTTTCTCCCCTGAAGGGTTATACTCAGCTTTGCTGGTTAAGTTATTTTTGGTTGTAATCCTATCTCTCTTACTTTTGGAAGAGCATTACAGGGTTTCCTATCAGTCAGCATTCATTTGTTAAGCACCTACTACGTGCCAGATACTGTTTTAAGTGTGGGAAGGGGAGTGGGTGGGACCCTGGGGTTCCACGGCCTCTAAAAGAAAGGCAAAAGGCGATCCCTGGTCTCAAGAACCTCAAAGTCTGATGGAGGAGACAATGTGCAACAATTATGTACAGACAAGAGAAATACAGGATAATTTAGAAGTCATCTCTGAGAGAAGATCCTAGCGTTAACGAAGAACAGAAGATGGGACTTTACCTGAGATGTGAAGGAAGCCAGGGAGGGGAGATGGACAGATGGGGAAAATGCTAGGAGGAAGGATACAGGAGTCTCTTGTGAAAGGGAGACCAGAGTTACTAGACAGTACTGAGTCATCTGCACATAGATGTTAACTAAAAACAGGGGAGCTGATGAGATCACCAAGTGAAATGGGATAAAGGGAGATAAGATAAAATGGCCCAGGACAGAGCTTTGAGGTACCACCAAAGTTAGTGGGGTGACCTGGATGAAGATCCAGCAAAGGGGAGAGAATCAGTGTCAGACAGGTAGGAGAAAACAGTGCCATGAAAACTTAAGAGGAGAGTATTCTGATTCTTTTTCGATGCTTGTTGTATTTTTCTTTTGACATGGGAGCCCTGAATTTTGGCCAAGATGATCCTGGGACTTTTTCTTTGGGGGTTTCTTTTAGGAGGTCATCAGTGCAGTCTTTCCATCTTCCCTTTGATTTCTGGATCTTATGGATCGGGGCAGTTTTCTTTCATGATTTCTTGAACTATTGTGTCCAGGATTTTTAAAAATCATGGTTTTCATGAAGCCCAATGATTCTTAAATGATCTCTCCTTGACCTGTTTTTCAGGTCAGTTAAAAACAAAACCAAACATCTAGCTTGCATTTTCTTCTATTTTCCATCTTTTTATCTTGTTCTAATACTTATTGTTGTCTCCGGAGTCATTGACTTCTGTGTGGCCTATTCTAGTTTTTAGGGAGGGTTCATTTGTTGGATAGGGTTTTTACTCTGCCTCCTGCTTTGTTTTTAGGTGGGGTGGTTAGTCTTGTACCATGAGTTCCTGTGGGTACTTCAATCTCTCAGGGTGAGGCCCCTTGGCTCTTTGAAGTTTACTTTATCTTCAGAGATCTCAGGATAGCATTAGAGATCTCAGATGCCTGGGCCCAGCCTGAGTGATGTGGCACCACACGGGTTTGCCTGGAGCTTCCAATTCCTACCCTCAGGGTAGGAATTCTCAGGGAGCCCTCCATTCTATATCTTTGGATGCAATATCCCAAGAAGTCTGGTTACCTTCGGGGGCACTGGTGGGCACCCGGGCTTCTGGCTAATTTTTTATGTAGTTCTGGGGAGGAAATAGTTTCTTGCTGCATTTCTTGATCGTTATTTGGCCATTAAGAACTTGAACGTT